CACTTTCTTTCTATTCTTATAAATAGAACTAGAGGAGTACATCTGAGCATACTGGATCTAAGAAACTGATGATTATTCTGTATTCTTTTTTCAAACAATAATCTTTAACATGCCCTGAGGAAGACATCATCTGCCTACAAAAATTTGGTTTGGGTGGTGGCTGGGTGTCAGATGAAGAATTATTGAATGGTTGAAAGGCTGGTTTGCCCATATGGACCACAGAAATACAATGAAAGCAGTTTATGTATCGTCGGTGGCTGTTTTTATTCTCAGCAAAATTTGGGACTGCAAAAATGAAAGGATCTATGCAACACACAAAACAAGCCCTCTAATAAAATTGTCCTGACCCAAGTAAAAGCCTTTATTTCTCTTTTTTTTAACCTCGTCTTCTTTGTGTGACTGGATGTCCTTAAACTTGTGTAAGGAGTTGGGTATGAATGATAATTATGAATGGAATCTGATTTGGACTGTTACTGCTTAGTTTTTGTGGATTTGGAGGAATAAATCAGGCAGCTCACCCGTATTATTTCATCCGCTGTACCTGGAAATCCTTTGTGCACTTGAACAACTTGCCATCTCTATTTAGCTTTGATTGCTTGTATGGGTGAATTCCCTCTTCTTTTATCAAATAAAAGGTCTCGTACTATGGATGAAGTATTCAAACAATTATTGGCTAAAGCATCAGCATAGCAATTTTGATCTCTTGAGATGTATTGCATAGTAACTATATTAATTAGTTGGAAAAGAACAACACAACGACATGGAGAAAAAATCTCATAAATGATGGAGCAACAAGCTCATTAGAATTGAATTGATCCCAAAACTTTTAGGGGAGAGAGAGAGATCCAAGTTACCCTCTCTCAGTATACACATCCCATCACGCTAAATACATAAATCAAAAACCTTTTATATAGAGCCTATCTTAACTAACTAGTGACCCTTAATATCTCTAACATTGCAGTGCAGTGTACTTGGACATGAGTAGAACCAGGCATTCAAAACCTACAATGATATCTTTATGATCCCAGCACAACGCAAGGGTCTTTATGTCATATCAACAAATTCAGAGGCCTGTTGGGGGAAAAAAAAAGAAAAAGAAAAAAGAAAATCAGTGGATTCCATTTATTGATGGGTTTGTGAAAGCAATCAAGCACAAGAGGTAGAAGGTGTTTTGGAATAAAAAAACGAATTGAAGTCCAATATTAATCTCTATGGATGGCATTTTGGTTCATAAAAAAAAAAAAAAAAAAGAGAGAGATGCCACTCTACTGGAACACCAGCATCTCTATTTTATGGGCTCATAATGAACCCTGGTTGACAGGGTCCTTTAAATGATATGCTCAATCTCTTTTTTTCTTTTTGGGTGTTTGGCTGTCTCTCCAAATTATGGTTTGGAAAAAAAATTTGCCAAACACCCTATAAAAATCTCAAACCATGATTTTGAGAGAAATCATGGTTTTGCCTCCCAAAACCATGGTTTCGAATAAAGCTATCAGGAGTTGTTTCTGCTTCAAATTATTGAACGTTGGTGGTGGGCCCAAGGAATATTATATAGAGCAGGAGTCAATTATTTACTTCCTCCTTCACTCTTCACCACGCTCCTGGTAAGAAATAATTATTTTTTTGTTGGCAAAATAAATTATTTTACAAAAAACATATTTACTTATTTTATTAATATATATACGTATTAATTTTTTTATTTATATTATTTATGTCTTATTTATTATGTTGCCAAAATATATATTATTAACAAATTTATTACTTCAAATAAACACATATTATGAAATATATCTTATATATAATTATCATTTAAACTTATGTCCTTTTTAGTAATTTCTATATATAAAAAAGTACTTCTGACAACAACTATCTAAACATTCTCACTTTATCAGAATCACTTTTTCAAAATATCTATTCTTGCAAAATCTATTCTTTCCAGAATCTATTCTCCAGAAACTATTCTCCAAACCATGGTTTGGCTTGATCCAAATACCTCCAAAATTGGTCTCATAATCCAGGAAAAAATCCCAATAAAAATACATCTAATAGTAACAGTGCTTGATATGCTACATAAAAGAATTGTAATAAACCAATGCTTCCCCATCATTGAAAGGATCCCAGGTTGTTCCAAATCTAGTCTCGGCAATGAGAGGCCAAATTAATCATAATAATACCAAGGACTATGTCGTAATCGAGTTAAAATTTAAAAGACCAAAAAAATAATTTTTCTTAAAATTTAATTTAAAAGGGCGGGCAAATTTAGGTTGGATATTTATTTGGTGTGTTGGACTTGTAAATCCAATTCATATTAATGGATTATGTAATGAAATGAATTTTAAAAGTTCATTGGGAAATTACTGTTCATGAGATGCGAATGAAACGTTTCAAGCAAGACAAACCTGGAAAAAACTTTAATTCTATGTATTATTAATTAATTAAATGATATTTTGTTAAATATAAGCAATGTAATTTATTCAAAACTTTAATTAAATGATAATGATGATATACTTTATCAAAAGAAACGGATGAATCAATTTTTTTATTGAATCAAATTCTGATTGAGGTTGGATTTTTTTTTTTTTGGCCAACGGATTGAAGTTGGATTTAGATCATCGAAACTTGTAAAAATCAGATAAACAAAATAAAAAATTAGGAGAATTATAATGAGATTTCAAGAAAAAAATAATTACTAAAAAATCTCAATAATAATCTAAACAACATAAATTTCAAAAAAAATAATAACTTTTAAAACTTATTATTACTCCTCCGGTCCTAATTATAGGACCCAATTGACTTATTTGAGGAGATTAAGGAAGTAAGTTAAGTTGGTTATTTATAATAAATAAGTGTTGTTATTCCTAAAATATCTTTGCTAATTAAGTATATTGGCTAAAACTATCATTATTAGAAGGATTATCTTGGAAAAAAATGCATAAATATAAAAGAAAAAATGGATTGGGTCTTGTAATTAGGACCAAATAAAAAGTTAAATTGGGTCTTATAATAAGGATCGGAGGAGTATTATTTTTTGAGATCTGGTATTCTGGTTGTGATTTTTCCAAAGAAATTTCAATCAGGGTCGGTTTGGGTCATACCTCTCATCATGATACGACGTCGTTGAACTGAAAGAGTCTAATTAGGGTTTTCACTTGGCTTATATAAAAGCGTGATATCAACCCCCTACCCCCTCTGCGTCCATTCATCAGCAGCCGCGAGCTTTGGTAGCCGAAGCAGAGTTTCTTGGCGCAGCTGAAGATGGGTCACTCCAACGTGTGGAATTCTCACCCTAAGAACTACGGTCCTGGTTCTCGCACCTGGTAAGTTTACCGGTTCGCGTTTAATTTCTCAGCGAATATAGATTTCTATGGAAAACTGTTCTGTTTCATGGGGCATGATGGATTTGAATCGTTTAGTTGGTTGACCCTTTCAAATCTCATTATGAGATGGTTGTTAAAGTGTTCATCTTTAGCGCCAAGTTATCTCTGAGCCGCAATATGATGGCTGAATCGTTTGTTCGTGTTTGTAATCACGAGTATCTTAAGTGATTTGATTTATTTTGGTTCAACGATGTTAAGCCCTTTGTCTTCTGATGCGGTTTAGCCATAATGTTGATAATGAATCGAATAATCAAATTGCACAATAACCTTGGTGATTATGTATATTTTCAATGACTGAACTAGTGAACTGACATTTTGATGTCCAAATTATCAGATTCATCTACATTTAGACCATGAAAATAACAAACTACTGCAGTTTCTTTTTGATTCAAGGACTCTAAGAATGTTAATGTGTAGCGGGTTTGTTAATTTCTAGTGTCAGCATGTGCGTTCGCCTCATTTAGAGAGTAAAGTTAATTGACCGGGGCCAATAATTCAGGGATTAAATGACTAGTTTATTCTATTTATCGAATAGTAAGTTATTGGTTAGGTTATTTGTTTACTAACCTGGGGTTCTATTATTTGCGATTTTTATCGCCTTCTACATTGTAAAACATGGCAGATGTTGCATTGGGGCTGGTCATAATGTTTAGAACCGAGCTTGTGCATCAAGCACTTCTAAAAGCTGGCTTATCTTTGGTCATAGAGCTAGAATTTTTTTGGTCTCAATTACTACCGTGGATTTCTTTAATTGGGCTTTTTTTTTTTTTTTTTTAAATATCTTGATTTAATGTTGAATAGTTACGTTGATTATGACTAATTTTCCTTGTGTTTTTCCAGCCGGGTGTGTGGTAACCCTCATGGTTTGATTAGGAAGTATGGGCTTATGTGTTGCCGCCAGTGCTTCCGAAGCAATGCCAAGGAAATTGGCTTCATTAAGGTAGAAAAGAATAGTCTTTGTATTACTTGCTCTGTATTGTTTTACCATCACTTTTTTCTCTTTACAAAGAATCAGATGCACCGTACAGGATTTGTCATGAGTACTGATATATATCTTGTACTTTATGTTGACAATATTAACGGATTTTTAACACTTTCATTGGCAGTATCGCTGAAGGATATGGGGACACGCCTCTCTAACTTTGGAGGAACTTGAAGGCGTTTTAAGTTTTTGCTTTTTTACATTAGTAACGTAGCTTGCATTGAGAACTTTTGCTTTACGGTGTATCCTGAACTATATTTAATGTTGGCTGAGTCTTTGGTATTCTATAAATGAAAAGATTTTAATTGGCTGAAATCGGATTTGAATATACACGATCCTATGTCTTGTAGATAGATTTATCGCCCTCTGTAGTTGTTCTACGCTGATGGATACGCTAATTCAACTCAAAATCAAGATCTTGTGCAAATTTTGACTGCCATATCAATTTTTGGCCGAAAGTACATGGAAATATCTCCTCAATTGTTTTTCCCTCCATCTCTTGGAGAAAAAATTAATGACCAAAGACCTCTAGTTATTTTTTTCAGTGTTATTATTAAATCACAATCTAGTGGTTAATACGAGGAGATTTAAACACGAAAAGGCGCTCAACTCTAATAAAATATGTTAGACCCCTTATCATCTGAAGTAAAAGACCGAACCCTTTGCCATGACAAACCCATCATACAAAACAAATTTGATAGCTTTGCCAAACAATATAGTGGCTGCTTAATCGCTAATGTTATCAAGATATCTAAGAAGTGATCAAAATTTGTTATTACTTACAAGCAAGAAGTAAATGGTCGTAAACATGCAAACGCATTCATGAGCTCAATGCTTGGTAGCCTAATGGTCCTTGGGGATCATTCGGTGTTCTCTCACTTCTACCCATCAAGGTTGGCATCCATGGGAATATCTTCCCAAGCTCCTTGCTTATTGTATTGGGACTCAACTTCTTTTCATTGATTCCAAACTTTGCTCTTTCAATAGCTTCCATTATATCTTCTCTAGTCACAGTTTCACCGCCTGCAACAGAGTCCAAATGCATATGTTTGACATTACTGATTTCAACAGTCTTGAAAATATAAAAAAAATCAAACATCATTCAATGCACGCTACAAGATACAATGAAAACATTCAAGTCCTTTTGCCTTACATTCTCTTCAATCAAAGATTACTATTTTAACATAAGGCGTCATGAGATGAATAACGTTGTTTTATGTGATAACAAATAAGGGATTTGAATATAAATGGTAACTCATAACTCAGTTTTACCTCTACGAGCAGCAAGCAAAGCAGCTTCATTGACAATGTTTGCAAGATCAGCACCTACGAAACCAAGGGTGAGAGAAGCAACTAAATGGCATATGATGCTGGTTTCCTCCTCCAAAGGAACTCCTCTTAGATGTACAGCCAATATCTTTCTCCTTCCTTCTTCATCGGGTTCTCCTACATATACTTTCCTTGAGAAACGACCAGGACGACATAGGGCTGGATCCAATGCTTCTGGTCTATTTGTTGCCGCAATAACAACAACTCTCATCTCTGACTCAAATCCATCCATTTCTGTCAGCAACTACAGAGACAGAAAATATAGAGAAACCAATAGTAGTGATTAAGTGCGCAAGAGATTTACCCCCCTTTAATTTCAATTTTTCAAGATTATGTAGTACATGAAGAAATTATAGAATGGAAAAAAATAATACACAAATGACAATTGTTGTTATCTACCTGACATTACAGTAAGGGAAAGAAAAAAGGAAAAACGTATAGATAAATTCTAGCGCTTCCAGATGTTAGATTCCTCCCACAACTATTTCCCATTGAGTAAACCAACAAACTAGTCTCAAGATTATTGGGACCCATCTAGCTTTAATCCCCAAAAATTAGTATATGTATAAGTTAGTCCTTGAAAATTATGAACAAGTTACATATCAATTCTTTTGTTAAGATATGCCCAAAAGCTTGCCTGATTTAATGTTTGGTCACGTTCATCATTGAAACTTCTCCCACGCCTGCCTCCAACAGCATCTAATTCATCAATGAATATAATTGACGGCGCAAATTTCCTGGCTGCTTTGAAAAGGTCCCTAATTCTTGCCGCTCCTCTTCCAACAAACATTTCAACAAATTCACTGGCAGATACAGTGAAAAAGGGTACACCAGCTTCTCCTGCAACTGCGCGTGCAAGTAATGTTTTCCCAGTCCCAGGAGGGCCTACCAGTAGTACGCCTCTTGGTAACTTGGCTCCTAGCTTTTGGTACTGAATATCTCCTTGCAGACATGAAACTACCTACAAAAAAGGGACTAAGTCAGGAAAACAATCAAAGATGCTTGGCTATTTACAAGAAAATTTCTTCAAGGTAAAGTGAATGATGAAAAACTCCAAATTAGAATATGCTTTTTTAAATCTTCCTAAGCTCAATTAATTTTCATCCTTTTACTTTTATAGTCATTACAATCTGGTCCCCTTGGTTTCATAAGTGAATTGTATTCCTTTTTGGACAGTTGTTTAATTTTCAGTGACATACTGATAAAATAATGCAGGAGTCCATAAGGATGCTGCATTTTCTTTCCAACAGATATGTCAGAAAACATTTAAACTAAACGTATCAACAGCAACCGTATAGGTGTTTTAGGATAAACAATAGGGATGAACGTCAACCTATACTTCAAACTTGGAAAACTAAATTATAATGATCAAAAGTAAAAGGACTAAAAATGTATACTCATCCAGACAACTTGACCAGCTAAATTTTCCTTTTCTTACTTTTGTCTTTAACTTACATGATCTATATCTTGTCCTTAAGTAAATTTACCATGAAATGTGAGGTGCTATCTACATGGCCTTTATGGAAGAATGCTTTCAAAATTGTCATTTCATGTATTAGGTCACATAAAGAAATTCAAGAACTTCCCATTTCAAAACTCAGGGGCACCATAACATCTTAAGACAACGTCCAATCTCTTTTTAATCAATTGCCCTCACTCAGGGCAAGTACAGACACAATCGGAGTCAACCCTGGCCTACAAATTGACACAAACACAGGAGGCAAAAAAAAAAAAAAAACACAAAAGGCTTGAATTGCAATATGTCGTGTCTGCATTACTAATGGGTTTTTGCTTAAATGTGTCAAAACAAAATTGCCATTTAGGTTCCATGAACAGTTGAACCTACATATACATGGAACTTAGACCATCTACAATAAATACAATAGTAATCCTTTTCAAAAATGATATAATTAATTATAAATCATCTACAGAAATTATATCAACACCAGAATCTCTGAAAATGATCCCTGCTAAGAATCCATTATGCAATTTTCCATGCAGATGTTGCTTTACAACATTACAAACAGAAAAACTATTATGAGGAGAAAAAAAAACCCGTCAAAGGCTCATTACTCAAGGCAGAATTTTGACTAAAGGGTTCCCAATATGAAATTAAAGAATTATTTACAAGTAAAAGATCCAGATGGGTCTCTGGTCCATGTAAAGGCATAAAAAGCATCAATATAAAATATCAATCCTAGTATTTTTTCTTATTCTTTCAATCTTTGCCAACGCATTTCGTTGGGCTTTGTGCAACTTTTCCCCTTCAATATTTTTCAACACATCTCAACAAGATTTAAATGCTAGAAAACAATACAATCTTTCTAAACACTTTTAAAATATTATACATCCTGTTCATCGTCAAATCGGACTGATGATTTGAAATAAGAATGCAGAAGGACCAAATCAGAAATCCCAGTCATCCAGGTTCCAAAAGTAAGGGATATTCCTAGAAATAAGGACATTCAAAAGAGGAAAAAGGGAAACAATGGGAGCAAGGTAGAAATTTGATATGGGGAGGAAAGAAATGAATTTTCCACCCCTCATTTGGTTTACCAAAAGAACAACATACTTGAGATATGAACTTCCAGATACTCAAGTGAGTACAATAGACCCCAGTATTTTTATCCTATCCCCACAAATTTTAGCGAAGACTCTATTGTTCTGGATCACCCAATGCTAAAGAGAATAAGATTCTAGTGTAGAACTCTCTAAGCCTACACTACTCTCCTTCATAGGCTTAAGGAAACACCCAACTAAATAAAGTCCCCTACTATTATCCATTCCTAGTAACCAGGGGAAAAAAAAAAAAAATCCTTGTGGTTTTGTCAATCCTCTTAACCTATAACCTAAAGTAATTTTATAAGACTGTCTTTCCGGGAATTTAAACAGCAGGTCACCTTTAACTTGTATTGCCTTATTGGGCTAAACTTTCCATACAATGCTTATGCCACAACAGCAAATGGTTAAAGCTAATACCAGAAAATAAAGGAGGAAGGAGGCCATTCCCCAAGTCCTTATAGTGAATGATCGGAATAGGCTAACTCAATTGTACCTGAAGTACAAATGATTTAACACATGATAAAAGTTTTCTTCATCTAAATGAAATTGTTTAAGATGCCAAAACATGAATACACAAGGGCCTACAGCAAAAGTTAAATACGTTAATAAAATCAATGGTCAAAAGAATATTCAGGTATTCATATTCCTAAAGTAATCTCAATTGTGGTTGTGAAGAAGCAAAAATGTCATCCATAATTACTATGTAAATAATTTCTAGACTATCAAGTTTGTGTCACTGCCTTAGCTACCATCCTGTTTAATTATTATTTTCTTTCAATCAAAGCACAAATTACTATATATTTTAGAGGAAACTAGTTGATGTTTGCTTCTACTATATTTCTTCTCCCAACCATCAACATTAACAAAGCTCAAATTAGTTAGTTTAACCTTGTTTATATTCTGTTATAAGTTGTTATCATACTTCTTCTTACATGCCATATACTAGCAATTTATGTTGGATCACATTTTAGGAATCACAACATAAGAGATTCCGGAGAAACAATTATAGTCCGTTTTCTAACAAAGTATTCACCTTAAATCTAATTATCTTGAACACAAGTCACTCTGACAGCCCAATTGCAAAATGGACTTCTGTTTAATGGTGGAAGTCTGGAAGAGACTTAATGATCAAACAAACAAAAAAGCAAAATCTAAGTCCATATTACGTAAATACTCAGTCGTCACAAAAAAAGGTCATTACCTCCATGAGTTCTGCTTTCGCTGCATCAACACCTTCCACATCATCGAATCCAACATTTTGAGTATGCGGTTTTTGCTTCTTTGCCGGGCTATTAGCAGCAGAAAGTTGACGATATAGAAGCCACATCAATGGAATCAGAGGTATCCACAGGGTTAAAACTGTTACCAAAATGCTCCTCATTGACATTAACATTGACTGAGGGGATGAGCTATATGTAACACCCTTTTCTCTCATTAAACTAACAAGAAATTTTTCGTCATGATCAATTTTTCTTGTGGAATACTGCCACTCAGGAACAGAAGTTCGAGTCCTAGAGAACTTGCCTAGTACATTCACTAGCCTAGTTGGGCCAGTTTTTGAAGTGTCATCACTTGCAAGCTTATTCATATCCTGATCGACTGAAACATTCATCCCTTGCGAATCGTTATCAGTAATTTGCTTGTCCTTATCATTCTGAGAGTTCACATTATAATATATCCGTCGAGATCCCTCTTCAAGTAAAACTCTGGTAACAGATCCGCTTTGAAGGTTTGTAATTAAATCTGAATATGGAACTATTGTTGGAGAGGGAAATGCCGTCAATTTCAGAAACAGGTAACAAAGGCCCAATACAATGGAAACTGAGGTAGAAAAGGCCACTGCTCTAATGTTCTTCCGGATAAAGATTCCCACCTCATTCAAAAAGGATTTAATCGGAGACCGTTTCATCCTTGCCGCTAGTAACCGTAACCTTGGCCGTAATCTCAGCGAAAATCTCTTTCTGCCGTTGTTTCCTTCCTCTTTACCATATTGTGTCCTTCTATCTCCTCTACTTCCATTCATCAGAGGTTCAATTCCATGTTTATGGAGTTGAGAACGAGAATTAGAACGATATGGAAACCTCAACAAATTAGTTCCACATTTTCGATCAGAATATCCAATTTTCTGATTGCAGAACAACCCGTGCTGAGATTTGAAGCATTGATTATACCTCACAGAAGGAAAATGAAACAAGCGAGTGCAAAATACGCCATGAGTCCCAAAGTATCTTGTTTGTGCCATACTAACTCCAAAATTATCGTGGGTAATAGACAAACCAGCACTACAAGTAACAGAAAAACAAGCCATACCTCAAAGAATACATATATCCAGAAAACCTGCTAGCTAGTTCCCACTAAACTGCATTTTTATCTTATCCAAATTTCAAGAATGAGAATAACGGAAGATGAAGTAGCTAAAGATTTTGTCCCCCGTGAAGCCAAGAAGAGTGCTACTATTACCTGAAAGAAAGGAAAATTGCGGGATTATGGGGAAACAGTGCCAAACGTAGAAGAAGAAAATCAAGGTGGACTTTTTTTCTGTCGATTCAAAATTTGTGAGGTGTATCTTCTTGTTTAATGTTGAGCCATGGGAATATCAAAGCAACGTCAATTACTCATGTTTTGGGCCAGGTTTGCTGGCCCATTGAATAAATACCTTTTAAAGAGAAACAGCCCATATCAAATTGATGATTATTTGGGTTTTCAATTTTGTATTTATAATTCAAAAATTGGTCAATGACTCTCTATTATTGTGGAATTTGATTCTTGTCGTTTTGGAAATTGGCATTATAGCCATTTAACATTGTTATGCAACTAATTGAATTTTTATATTTTTAGAATAACTAATTTTTATGTTCTTTGAAGCCAATGAATATTTTTATACAAATAATTGAATTGACATGCATGCAATTTAACATTTAGATGTTGATACAAGTTAATAAATTTGGGTGAATAAAATAACAAGAAATAATTCTGATTTGATATTTATTAATGACGGTGATTTACTGCATGTATAAATATATATATGTTATATTATAAATTTTAATTTTATAAATCATTTTAAAAGACTATTTTGAAATTTACATATTTCGATCATCTTTATATATTTATCTTCTGTAGCAATAATAATGTATAGTTATTACTCCACACTTGCATCTTCTACAGGGGAGGAAGGAGGGTTTTCTCTCTAAGAAGTTTCTTGCTCGAAGGTTCTTCTGAGCTCATGAGGTACCTTATTTTCTATACTTTCCTGGTTTGATCTTTTTCAGTTTGTTTCAGCTTCAGTTTAGTTTGCTTTTGCTTCTTGTCTTCGGCTTGGTTTGCTGCTACTTTCTATTGGGGTTGGTGTTTGTTATCTTAGGTGTGTGGTTCTTTGTAGTTTACAAGATGAAACCTCCAGCCTGTGATAATTCTCATCTAGCTTTCTGCCTAAAACGTTTTCTCTTTGTCAAAGTTCTTGGTGTGAGGAAGCTGCATGCAGCAAAACTTCAAGCTTTAAGCCGATATTATTGGAATTCAAAGGGTATCATAAGGGTGCCGCAAAATGTTGAGAATCTATTTGTTCTATATTTTACTCGTCCTCATCAACAGCTTGATGTTATTTTAAGGGGGTGCTTCGCTACGATGAATAGTATTTTTTTAAAAACACTTTTTTGTAAATTAAGAAAAACTCTTTCACATATTTACTTTATACTCTTCTAGTCCTATTTATAAGGTATTTTCAACATATTTCACATAAACTAAGAAAAATCTTAAGCTATATTAACTTCTAATTAAAATACAGCTACTTTTCAATTTTATCCCTATTTAATATATACACTTTTCAAAAAATAAAACTACGTACATTATAATAAATGAAGGATAATATAGTACATTCATGATAAAAATTTAATGAAGTGACTTATAAATAGGATAAAAAAATTCTCTTTCTATCTTATAAATAGGATCAGAGGAGTATACTGTAAAAATAATTTTAAAATTATGATTTTGATTCCATTCAAATACCGTTAAGTCAAGGAACGTGGATTCTTCAAGGTTTCTCCGCAGCAATATATGAAAGGACTTCTGATACTTTGTTAGGTTCTGCCCTTTTTCCCAAAGTTCATGTGTGGTCGTGTGGATGAGATTTTATGGTATTCCACTGGATTGTTATACGAAGGAAAGGTAGCAAAGTTTCGTGGTGGAAGGCTAGGCACTTTCTTGAGCTTCGACGCGTCTTCTACCACATGCAAACGGCTTGCGTGTCAGGATTGCATTGGAGAAGAAGATGTCATTAAATGCATGCCTCTCTCCCATAAATTCAGAAGCAAAAGTTTCCCCTTCCTTAATGCTTGGGCATATCAGTGGCATCTGTTTTAAATGCAATAGATTGGGTCACGAGAACAAGAACTGTTCAGAGGCTTGCTTCCACTGACGGGCTTATCACTTCTTTTAATGGGCCAAGATCTAATCACATTAACTTTCATGGATCAGGATTTGTTGCTTTTCATGGTTGGGACTATGTTATGAGGAAAGCATCGGATCACTCTAGGATAACAAGTCTCATTGAATCACAGGAGTGGTTGAGTGGTGCTGGAGTTTCTAATAATCATAATCAGACTCCCCATGCTGCCACGCGGAAGCATAAATGAGAGGCTAATGATCGCGCTTTGTTTTAAGAGACCGGGAGTGTTTAAGTAGAAACCAAACTATAGTTTTAAAAGTGATTTTACGGTACACAAAATAATATACAGAGGAATTTGCCTCATTTTACGGAGAAGTGCTTTTTCAAAGTACTTTTAATGGTTGCCAATCACTCCCAAAACTTGAACCTCAAGATACGCTTATGGATTTTGGTGACAGTAATTCTCTTCAAAGTGGTGTGAAAGAGTTTAGCTTGTGAGAGAAAAGGATTCTTCTAGACCAAGTAGAGAAGGTCCGGTCTTTGGGTCAAGCACAAGTCTTAGTTTCGGGGTGTTTGGGTAGCATCAAAAGTGTTTCTAAAAAGTACTTTTTCGTAAATCGAGATAAATTCTTTCACATATTTATTTCGTATACCATAAAAGCATTTTTAAAATTATGGTTTTGATTCCATCCAAACACCCCCTATATCTTTCAGGAAACGTCCCCCTTTTGAGTTTTGTGACTCTAGCTTGAAGCAAGCCAGAAAACTAGAGAGTTCCCACGCCTTCGTTTGTTTTGGGAGTCTGAATTTTGCTAGTCGACTGGGGTCTGGGGACTACGGAGTTATGCTGTTCTTGCCAGGATCAACTGTCTCTAAGAAGGAGCTATGTTATTTTTTAAGCAAGTGTACTTGGGAAGAGCATCCTATTAATGTCTTGAGTTCTGACGGAACTTATGCCAAAAAGCTCCACACATGTGGATGATACTATGGGGCCCTCTAAGTTCTTTAGTAGTCACTTAGAGGTCCATCAAGCAGTATTGCAACATTCTGTCTTTGTGTTCTCATGTTTGTTCAACCAAGTATGCAGTTGCTTCTATTCTATCTTTGTTTCTCTAAGTTCCAGTGGTTTCATGATATCTTGTCCACTACTTGTTCAAGCACTAGCCTTACTGCGTGTCTATTGGCACTTCTCTACTTTGGATTCTATGCCAAAATCTTGCTCTTTGGTGTATGTTGCCAGGGACGTTTTAAATACCCCATGAGGTACCCACACCCGAGTTTTGACTCTTAATAGCATAATTTGATAGCTACTACTCCCCACAAAGGATGCTTATGGTTACTGGGGCTCTTTGAAGCGTCACGAATGGCAGTATCTTAGCCAGTGTAAGCTGCAGCTCGTACTTTGGTTCCAGTCTTCCTAGCTTACTTTGCATCATGTGGTCGCTATTACAGGATGTATTGTTGATTCTAATGTAATGCATCCACATGTCATGGGTATGTTCCAAACTTGATAGTCATCTAGCAATAAAAAATTTTTCATATAATATTTATTGGCGATGGTAATTTATTACATGTATAAATTTTAACTTCAAAATATTACATCAATTTTTGTTCAACATCATTTAGCAGTTAATTATATATCAAAATGTTAATTTAAATTATTTAGTGATAAATAGCCTCGATTTTTATTAATTCAAATTAATTAAGTTACTTGCATATTAAATACATTTAATCACATGGTAAGAAAACCTTTTAATCCTTTTTAATTTAAACTAAATTTTACACCAATGAGATGTAAGGTAATATTTAAAAAATGGTACTACCTCCGGTCCTAATTATAATACTTTGTTTGGAGTCTATAAATGAGATCTTATAATTATGACACAATCAATTAGTATAACAATAAAAGTATAAGCAACAGGATTTTTCAACTTCATCCATAGAAATGTTTTTAGTATCCAGCAAAGAATGATTCACTATGGCGAACATTATATTGTCACAGCTCATATTTTATCATCAAAATCTACCAATTTTCTAGAGTCCCTGTCATGAATTCTAGACATCGAAATCATGTAATTTAAGTTTAATATAAGAGCTAATTAGAGACTTAATTTGGTCCTAAAAACAAATATCAATCCATTTTGTTAGCCATATTGATCTATTTTACCTCCCAAGTAATATTTATAGTGATTGCAAGAATTGTTTCGATACGCATTATTAATAAAAATATTTTAGAAAAAACAGCATCTATTTATTTCAAATGAATAACTTACTTAATTTTGTTAATATTCAAAAATTAGTTTTTTAGTTCTTATATTAATGATCTAATATTAAAGAAAAAGGGACCATAATTGGTTTTCTCTTTGTCCGGCCTTTCAAAGTCTCTCCATTGTCTCTCTTCATCATACTCTCTTTCTGCTAAAAACGGCCTCAACATTTCTAATATGCTCAATTTAATTTTTCTTAGAAAATTACACTCAGGTCCCACAGAAAACAATTAATTTAGAAAAAGTCCCTGAAAATCCCGAAATAATTCTGAAGTCCCCAGAGACCTGTGTGTAATTAATTATAATTGTAAAATTACTCATTTACCCCCATTAATTTTATTATAGTAATTCATTTACAGCCTTAACAGTGGCTGTTGACAACCCGAGAAGAAGTGGTTGACAACCTTAGCAGTGCTCCTGACAACTCACTCTGTGGGATGCCAGGGGCATTGCCAAGGTTGTTAACAATCTCTTCTTGGGTTGTCAACAGCCACTATTGATGTTGTAAATGAACTAGCACAAGTTTTCCCGTGCGAGCATTTCCACAATTAAATAACTAAAACAACACACCTACAGGTTCAATAACGTAGTCCAAATTCATTTCTCATAAACCAAACATACTATCAATGTAATAATCAAACATACACGCCTGGAAGCAAGTATACAAAATAACTTACAAGGAACATAAAATAACACTTCTCAATCTCACAAATTACGAAAGATCTCCTTGTACACAACATTTGTTGTTGTGGACTTCATATTTTTTCTATCTGCATCAATTATAATCTTCAAGCCATCAATTGATTTCACTCTTGATAGTGCAACATATAGCTGGCCATGAGCAAAAACAGGTTTTGTTAGAAAAAGTCCAACACTTCTTAAAGATTGGCCTTGACTTTTGTTTATTGTCATGGCAAATGAAAGAGTGATAGGGAATTGCCTACGCTTCATACGAAATGGCCACCTACTCTCAGAGGGATTTATGTCCATCCTATGAAGTAATACCTTTTGGTTTGGATTTGAACCACTTAATATGATCGCTTCAATGACATTCTTGCCCAATTTGGATATACACATGCGTGTACCATTACAAAGGCATGCAGATTGATCAATATTCCGTAGCAACATAATTGGTGCTCCAACTTTCAAGATCAACTTGTGTGGTGGTAAACCTGAACAACTAATAGTGTTAAGGAATTCTGTTGTATACAAATTGTTGAAGCTATCAATGTCTTCATCAGATCTACATACAGTATCACAACTGAGGAACTCAAATGTTTCTCCTGGTAACAAAGAGCACATATAGTCATTCACTTGATAGACATGCTCAATGGTTGGTGCTAGTATAGCTCTATCATTGAAGTATTCATTCTTGTGTAGATTTTCAAGCAGATTGGGATAAGTCGAAGCAACAATTGCTTGTATTGGATTTGTATAACTACTAATCAAGAGCTTTAGGGGGATATCAATCTCTGCAATTCCATCATTTGCTTCGCCTAAATGACCATTACCTACATCCAGTAATCACTGTGAAAACCTTTGTAGCCTCAAGTAACCTTCTGTTGATGTCGCTAAATTCAAGCGCATGTTTTTTGTCAATTTGAAAACTTTGCAATGTTCCCACAATGCTGATGAGTTAATGCATGCATTAACAATTGTTGCTCTTGTACCTTTAGGGATAACAGGAAGTATCTGACGGAAATCACCACCCATAACAATGCACTTCCCACCAAATGGAGCTGAACAATGCATTATATCTTTTAATGTTCTGTCAAAAGCTTCTATGCAGTAGCATTGGACCATTGGAGCTTCATCCCATATAATAAGCTTCATCTTCTCAATAAGATTAGATATAGGAGAATTTTGCTTGATAGAACACATGGAATATTCATGTACATGAATAGGAATTGCAAACCTTGAATGAGCTGTTCTTCCAGAAGGCAATAAAGTTGCTGCTATTCCACTTGAGGCAACTGTTAACACAATTTCTCCATTAGAACGTAATGTTGATGTCAGAGCATTCCATAGAAATGTTTTACCAGTTCTACCATAACCATACACAAAGAAAAAACCACCTGTTTGATGTTCCAACACTGACATTACATGATTGAATATATGAAGTTGCTCTTCATTCAATGATTCTATGAGTCTCGCAGCTTCTAAACGAAGAGCATTCTGATCATAGTTTAACTCTTGTAATATAAGTTGATTTGAAACATCAAGAGGTTCAATGCATGCTAGACTTGGCATAGAGGGAAAATCAGCTAGGCTTCTCCCATTCCCTTGTAATAACTTATCAATTTCTGTCAATGCTACTTGTTCTTTCTATTCTAGAGGGATAGAAATATCTGCATGTAAAACAGAGGACAATAAATTAATGCATATGTAATTATTTACTAAACATATATATGAATTGAGCAAATTTAATGTAGTATACGGAGAAAGTTAAATATCTAGCAAGCATTAGAGATGTACTTGAGAAGTTTGGATCATTTCGTGGAATGTATAATAAATCTTCAGATAATAATACAGCTATCTCCTTCCATACATCTTCAGGCCGACTCAAACAATAACATAACAACATACTAACAAACATTCTACGAAGATATTGACCAGGTGCCCATGTTGATGCCTCCTTTATTGCAAATATGTACTCCTTATCATCATCTAATAATCCCATGGCAAAACGTGCTTCCCTAAAAGTTGGATATGGAACACCATCAACTGTTCTAATTTCATCAAAAGAACGTGGTCCTTTTACTTTTGTTAGAAGGACCCGCAAGTAGTAAAACTCTCCAAAGGTTGATGAAGCATGACAAATGCGGCCAACTGAAAATCCTCTCTTCCTTTTCTTCCATTCCCTCATAGTTCTTTTATACACATAATGATTTGGGAATTCTGCATGAGTTAGAGTCCTAGCAAAAGTATCAGTTACGTTAATCTTCATCCAAGCAAGGAATTGTGATTCACTAACTCTTGGTTTGTCAAGTATGTCAGCAACATCATTAGAATTACAATATATTACACTTTGCTGATTAGGTAGATGAAAACTTAACCTTTCCACTGACGGATACCTATGATGTATATCAAACCCAAATATTCTCCATGAAGCCTCACATGATCAGATATATCTGCAATTATAGTACTATTGAATCTCATCAAATATTGCAGCACCATCTTTGTCAAATATTTTGACAACTACTCTGTCATTACCTTTACTGATATACTTGAATAAATACTTAATTGCAGATGATTGATTACATTTCTCCACATTTATATGAGCTTGGAACATTTGTAGAAGCGAAGGATTATAAGGCACAACATATCGATTATCTAAAGTGATAGACTTGATTTCAACTAACCTACCATTAGCTTTGCGACGATATGTAGGATATCCTTCGTCATCAACTTTTGTATTATCATTGAATCTCTTTGGGAAGTATTTACTACATTTCTTATCCTTCATACAAGGTGATTTAGGATTGCTAGAGCCACAAGGACCATGAACCATGAATTTCCTTACCAAGTCATATAACAGTAGTGATGAATCCTTATCAGGGATTTCTGCACATATGATCTTATCAACATCTTTAGGATGTTTGAGCTTATCCCTTGTATCAAGGAATAATAGTATATGCGCATGTGGTAATCCTCTCTTCTGGAACTCAATTGTGTAAATCTCTATCAAAATAAAGATAAATATATATAAATTCATTTGGAAACAAATAGATAATGATTATTCAAAACTACCATTAATTAAACAACTATGCATGAACATATACCTGCCCTAACAGTACCAAAAATCTTTTTTGTTTTGATGGTCTTCATCAATGATTGAAGCTTCATTTTGAATACTCTGCATAAAATATCTGGCCTATCAGAAGGATGTAATCCATGTTGAGAACAAAATCTTGTAATTTCAGGCCAAGCTAGATTGCAAGTGAATGTTATGAAGATATCAGGGTATCCTACCCACCGACAAATAGACATTGCATCTTGGTAATTCATTATCATGTAACGAGCTCCTCCAGTAAAAGACGAAGGAAGTATTATACGTCTTCCTATTGATGCAGCATCTCTCTCCCCACTTGTTAATGCATCAGACAGTCCTTAGTATAGATCAACCCTTAGTTCTCTTTGGTGAGTTTTAACCCAAAGCAACCTTTGAGACTCAATCATCGTATAACCATCAACAACAAATTGTTGCAACAATCTTCTTGCATGGAGTAAGGTAGAGATTTCATTTTCCCTCACCATCAATCTAAATGTGAAATATTCCCTCATGCTAAGCTTTTTCTTCTTCTTAGTAATAGCAAGGCTCTCTTCTCTATGGTCACTGTCAACTCTATATCCATCTTCCCTATACGGAAATAAGATAGGATACTGCAATGGAAGATATGCAGCATGAAGTTCGCTAATTCGTTGAATAGATCCTGAAATTTGTTCGACAAGCATATCTCTGACATTAAAACTCATATCAATGTCACCAACAATTAAAGTAGCAACTTCTAATGCAGAAGGCAAGTTAAAGGTGCGACCATCTGTGTCTCTACTACTAATCAAGCATAATTTCAATTCATTCTGTCCTTCATTCATAATCATTGATAATGCACATCTATATTGTTGAACAAAAGGATTAACAGCATCAAGAACATCTTTTATTTGGTTGACAATTTCAGGGAGAATTGTTGATTGAGTTTGATGTTTACTGCAAAAAAATTGTAAAAACTTAGCATCATACTCATACAAATTTTATAGGACTTTTGCTCATTAAATAAATGTAAAAATAAAATGATAAACCTAACAGCTGATATTTGATTAGCTACTTCATGCTCTGTATCAAATATGTAGAGCTGTGAATAAACTGGTCTCCCACCTTTTGGAGGCAAAAGACTCCCAATGGAATGATAATTGACCCCATGCATGACAAAGGAATATGGTCCACCACTAGAATTTTTTGAATGATCAATTTTCCCTCCCAGTGACGTGAATGAGAACATATTATTGTATTGCCTTATGTTTGCTTGAAAATTCTTTGAATCAGTTGAGTCCTTGCTAAAGAATAAGTTCTGTAGCTTAGAAGGAGGTGGCCGCATAAGAGGTAATTGAACTTTTCCCTTTAGACAACACATTGAAAATGTGATATTAATCCTCTTTGTGTCCTTCTTAATCCTCTCATTATACCATAGCATTGCCGCACAATGTGAGCACTTATATATGGGGTCACCTTCATCAACATAATCTGTAAAACATTTGTGGATAGAATAAATAATTATTATTTATTATTATTAATTATTAATGATTAATATATGTAACCACATCAATAATAAGGAATGAAGTTCTAACTATTACATAGAACAGGAATATACAAATAAGTAAGTGTAACATCCGTATATAATCAAACCTTCTGAAGTATGTCCATCGAAAGTGAAATCATTATTCTCATTCAATACTTGATCTCCATTCATAGCATCTCCACTGCGTCTAGAGCCTACATTAAATGACGAAACTTTTTGATGACGAAGTTGTTCACATATAAGAGACAATTAATGTTAATTAGTATTAATTATTAATTATTAATTAATTCTATTAAGAGTAATAACATTAAAAAACACTATATTAATTTATAGTTAATAGTAATCAATATTAATATGTAATATCTATGTTGTCCAATATTGAGAAAGGGATTTTAATTTACCAGTGTATTGGTGTGGCTCATTATCATCATTGGCACTTTCATCACTTTCATCTGAATTGAAGGAGAAGCTAATATCTCTATAGTCCAACTGTTTATCTGTTTTTCAAAAGAAATGGCCAAATGTTGGGAATAGGAAGGCATATTATCCATTGTCCAATTATCCAAATACAAAATAACAGTTAAAATTAATTTGAAGCATACTCCATAAAGTATAAGATTTTCAGGGAAGATGCATGATAGACTTGTGAACTTGGCTTACCAACGTCTATCATAAGATTCGACTGGGGATCTGTAGATGAATTGCCCAAGTCATAAGTGTTTTCTGCTGCTAATTGTTTGTTCAAATTAAATCTTCTCCTCTTTCCAATACTATCAAGTGACTTATGATATACACTACAATTATTAGATTCTGTAAAAAAAAAAAAGACATATAAGAGGTTTATCATGAAAATAAAGAGATATTATATAAATCAAAGAAATCAAAGAATTGCTAATAATGTATTGACACAATTACTCCCTTACTTACCTGAAGGGAATTGAAAGACGACGCGTAGCGGAAATCAACTTAAAATTTAAAACTTTCAACCCCTTGCCCGGATCTACCGATCGCGTTTGAGTTAGGTAGTAAGAAGCATTACCTTCAGTGTTCGATTTCCAGGTGGCTCGGTGATTCCGCCGTTCAAGATGCCTCTGCTCGCCTCCTTTGTCGTTCGAAGTCGACAACTCCGGTCGGCTTCCTCTACCGGTATCCACACGAGTAGCCCTCAATCTCGAACGACGTGCTAGCGTCTATGTCCGTCTAGGGTTTTCAAAAATCCGTCCTCTCTTCTCACTTTTGGCCGTCCCTTATCTGCTTAGTGCTTTCGCTCTCCCTCTTAAAACCCTAGCTCCTCATATCAAATATATAGGATGCTATAGGTTTAATGAATGATTTTTAATTTCGAAATTAATCCTAAATTAATTCCGAAATTAATACAATATCAAATATTGCCTAATCAGATAAGAGAATAATTAAATAAATATGGTTTATATTAAATCCGTCTCACAGATTTAATTCACCTATTTATTTAATTCAAAAATAAAGATATGACGGAATTAATTTACATAGATCTAATTTATCCTTATAAATTAAATCTAACAATTAATATTTCTTATATTTATATAATATATATATACGAATATATATATACATGTCCACCCTATATTATTCATTGAATCTGGACATATCTTAGATTCAATGAATCTGGACATCATAACTCGCGTTGGGCTATTTTGTGTGCGACCCTGTAGGCCCATATGAAGTTGGCAGTGGGCCATTAACTATAATGACTCACAAGTCGTAAGCGGTCTCTAGCAAGACATACGACTACCCAAATCATATGAGGATCGTTGAACGATGTAACCTTTCATACAACCATATCGCGTCCCTTTTGTCACACGACATTTTGGTCATGGATGAGGCATGGAGAACGTCATCCTCCTATTCATGACCGTTACTTTCTCGATCCCTAAGTAGTCTGAGTATAGAAACGGAACTACCTTTCCATTATAGTATGGCCATACATTTCTCAGACTCACTCATCGAGGGGCCCAGTAATATCTCTCTACGAATGTGAGGGACAAATTCCATCTTGACTATTCACATTCCTCCACATGAAAAACCACTAAGCCTGAACATAGTTTTTATGATCACTTGGTCAAAAGTGACTTTTGACTAGGTCAAAGCTAAGCGTTTCTCATGTAGGAATCCATGATGATCTCAGGTCAAAGGGCACAGTGACATGGTTTGTATATGAGAGAAGCTTATGACTTAACCCATGCAGCTCTCTCATAGCGGGTCGGTCCAACACCTTGTACTCTTACATGTGCCTATGACTTTAATTTATATCTCTATATATCTTTAAAGTCATATTGGTCTTATTTCATCTCTGCTCCCACATAGATGACCGACCAAGGACATTTAGGATAAACCATGAGTTATCCAAGGATAGTCATCACAGTAAACATGCAAATAATATAATAACGTAATTAATAAATTCATAAATTAACAATGTTCAAAACATAATGATTGGCCCCTAGGGCACAATTTCCAACATTACCAACATTTGATCCTTTGCTATGATCACGATTTGACATCGCAGTAGGCAGCAGAATAATTTTTTTGCCTTTCCTTTTACTTGATGAAATATTTTCCTTTCTTCTACTAACATTAACTGCTACATTATGCGGACCTTCGTGCTCTTGTATTATCGTTGGTAGGTTCAAAGTAATACTATTATTCATGTCTATAGAATTAGTCTTACATCTTTGACGGCCTAATAAAAAAAAACACCATCCAAAAGTTAAGAAGGTATATTTGAAACCTATGAACAACAGCATTTTCATTAAAAGAAATAGATTAAAGACCTGTAGTCTTTGGCTTCATTAGATACTTTCCTCCTGGTTCTTCAATGATGTTCATGTAGTTTTCGAAAGCTTTAAACCTTGCACTTTTATGCTTGAACACTTGATCAGATGAGCAATATAATGTACCTGTTCTACTTTGAGTTCCTAGTATTTTTTTTTTCCTAAACACTCATTCAACTAATGGAATGACTAAAGATTGTTGAGCAGTATGTATGATTAATATTCAATGATTAAATAGCTAGTGTGCATAGAAGTAAGCTATTTTTGGAAGAACCATATCAAAACGAAGCCAACATGATATTGTTAAAAAATTATAATAAAATAGCTACTGAAAAAATGTATTTCACTAACTTCTTAGCAATATTAATCACTTCTAGTTTTGGAACTTTAACAAATGAGAGAAAATATATTGTGTCACCTACAAGCTGTTTTATATAAGACTAATAAAACTCGTATAAGGCTAGGAAAAAACCAAAACATCATATCTAAGTAGGAAGAAGACTTTTTCATCATCACAATTGTGCCTACTTAGTAACTAAACTCATAAGTAGGTATTTCCTAACCTGGTTTAGTGGCATTGGAAAACTTATCACATAGGTTTGAAGATACATTTGTGATATCTCCCAAAGCTAGAGATCTTTTTTGGTATTTAGCAGAGGATACACTATTTTCAAATATTCTAACAGCAGAGGGTTGAGTCTGATTCTCATTAAACTTCTCCATTGCTCCCTTTGATGCACTATTTTCTCCCCCTGCCCATAACATAAGCAAATTTTCTCCTCCAACAAATATTATGGTATCCATTGGTAAGACAAAACTTATTGAGCCAGCCACAGGGGAAAATTAAATGAAATGATTCATACATATATAGCCTACCTGTAACCTCCATGCTTGGCTGACTTCTTAAACCCTTAGAGATTGATTCGGTCTCTTTCATGAACAAAAGTTCAAAGTGGTAGCAGTAGAAGTGCACTGAGGTCACATGTAGCTCATTCCTATTGTAAGGGATGACGGGCAAAGCATTTTGAAGCATTTCTGTTGTAGGCCAACTCTAAAATGCTTCATCTAGTACTTGCTTAAGATTCCTTTTCGAATTGGTACATTCTTTGTGCTGCAACTTTCTGGCATCATGTTAAACTCATGTATCTTTGTTTGCACGATAGTGACATCTCATGTAATTTTTTGATACATATACAGAAACCTAAGAACTTAATATCAGATGACAAGTACTGCATTTTAGACTGCATAGTGTCATGTGAACCATAGATAAGTCGCATGATCAATGACCTCTAGTTGTCATGTGAACTGTATATATCCAACGGTCTAGCATTTTTCTTTAAGCTCTAAATTAGTGTCATGGGAAATCTGGAAAAAGGCATTTGATCTCTTGTATCAAATAAGCACCATCTAAAATTTATAGCTTTTAAATTTGTCCTACGTTATATATAGAATATAACATCTTTTTAAAGCCATTCCATTGTCACCCAAATAAATGATAATGACAAGCATGTGATGATTAACTCAACTAATAGAGATAATAATGAATTTTAAAAAAATGCTTCCACTTTGCAACCATGTCTAATGTCTCCCTATTATTTTGAACCACATACATAAGACGTCAATATTCCTTTCTTTATTCTTTCTATAGTATATCACACAATTATATTTCATAATTCATATCTTATATCTAACTTAAAAATCATCTCCTTACTATAGCTGTTACATTTAGTTATATCTGTATAGTACATCTACGGTCCATTAATAATAATAATTAATAATTCAGTATGTGTTATGCATTCTGTCATGAACTTTGATAACAGAGATAATCATTTAGAACTTCATGTTCAGTCCCAAGAATATTGTGGTAGATCTAATGTGATGGCTTATGAATTCAAGTTAGAATGATACAGTTTGCTCTGGCCATAATAAAGTCTTCGTCTAAATTGACACACTTATGACTACAGTTTATAATATTATCAGTTTTTTGTACTCTTGAGTTGTAACTATAATCTTTTTATGGATTAACCACTAACATATAACTGATCACTCTTTAACATGTAATTGCAAAATAGATGCAGTTTATAATTTAATCCTAACTTAAATCAATTCTTAATGGAAATAAAGATTGAGTCAATTTAAAGAACGGAATATAATATTAAGGACATCACATATGTTGAACAAAAAAAAATGACACCACATAACTAAAGAACGCTACAACCCACATAAGTACTGCTAAGTCCAAGATGGACGTCAACTACCTAAATTGAGGACAACATATTTCAACTAATTTCAACCAAGACATTAAATCTTAAACGACAGGAATAAAAAGTTAATATGAAACCATAAACACATAACAAGGACCAATCGTGTTACAACAACTACATCTAGTGAACCTACTACTTCTTCTCCTGCTTGACCTTCACAATCCTTCCCAGGTCCTTTAAAGATGAGGGGTCATTGATATTGTTGACATGATCCACAAAAACAGAAGACTTCTTGGAAACAGTCTTCCTTTTGCCTTTTATAAGAACACCAAATCCATATGCTTGGTTACTTATTTCAGCTAACGTCAGGCTCTCAGAATTATCAGGTGCAGTAGGAGTTGAGTGCCCAAGAGGTGGACTCATCTCAGCTGTTGAACTACCTTCATCAATTTCCTCCATCCCTGACTGCATATAAGAATACATATTGTCTTCAATAAAAAAAAATATGCTGAGTCAAGTATAAAATTTTGAAGTTATTACATTGTTTAATTACAACCTGTGGTATCTTTGCAGCTTGCACTCCATCTTGCATGCACCAGCACCAAATTAATATAATTAATATAATTAAATAATTTAAATAATTAAATAAATATAATTAAATTAATTTGAATTTGAATTCAATTCAAATTCAAAGTATAATTACATCTCAGTAGCTTCAAACGTGACCTTTTTTATATTACAAAATGAAGTTTACACAAATAAATCTTACCTCAGTAGACACCTCTGTAAACTGCTCCATAAGATCCTCACATAATGTATATTGCACCACACTTATGCTGGAATGAGGGTGCTTTTTATTGTATTAATTCAATTTTAACTTCAATATCATCCGCTTCCCAATTATTTCATCAAGATCATATGGAAAATCATACTCACGTTGTTCCTATAAATATAAGACATGATGGCTGATTAGTTTATTATCGCATCATATTGAAATACATATTGAAGTGATCATATATTATAATTTGTAGCCAGATTGAAGTGTCCTTATTAAACTCAATCTAAAAATGATCTATCCTTATTTCCAGATCAATCTAACCTGCTCTAGTGTTAGCTTTATTTCAGTTGCATTCTTGTTGAACAATTGCACAACTAACTTGTCCCAGAAGATTACAGAAGTTTTCCCAGATTGATCTTCCACAACATAGTGTACCTTCAATCTGACAACCATTTAACAATGAATTGAACAACAAAAAATTAATATTTAATAATTATAATTTATAATTTATAAGTAATGTTGGATTTGTACTATTGAGCATTTAACAACGAAAAAGACATGCATGGTGATAAGCATTGAAGTGAATATAGAATAAGGTTATCATTGTTTAAATTACTTAGGCTCGACGGATTGAGGTTTCTTTTTATAGTTAGAGCAGTGCAGCGAACCATTCTCCTCCTTAGGCTTGCTTGCACACTTTGAGCACCCATCATAACTCCAACCATGGCGAGTCTCTAGCTTAATGACCTTGCAGTTAATAATGAATGCCTCCTCCTGAGGTTTTAACATAAATGAGATGAACAACGTAATAGCATTACTCTAATTAATACAACTAATGTTTTAATAGCCATAATAGAGCAGAAGTGACCGACTATAGGGAATGAATAATTGCAAGGAAAAATATATAAGGCAAATCTAATGAGTTAGAATACAAACTCTTGCTTCATGTTCAATGTCAGATATATTCATCCTCCTGTTATTGCGCATCATTGCTGAAGCAGAAGGTTGAGAAGATTGAGATGGGATCTGCTGGCTTAGCACAGTCAGAGAAGGTGAGAATTTGTCTTTGGACCTACATATTTGCATAATGAAGTGAATGAGACTGTCACTGTCATATGTCAGATATGCTGGGGAACATCATACCATCCACTATACGTGTTCACATGTTGATGAAAATCATACCTTTCAATAAGTTTTCTAACCTCTGCCAGCTTTGGATTAAAATATACTCGAGTAGCACTAAATGAACTGCATAGCTGAGGACGACCTACAATAAAGATGAAAGATAATTAGGTATCAGATAACAGATAAAGGTAATTAGATAATTAGTTAATGGTTAATAGATAACATCTTCTTGAATAATAGATAATTAGGTAATAAGAGATAATAGATATTTATGTATCTAGATATTACATATTAGATATTAGATAAAAGATAAATATAATAGATATTATATATTATATAATTTATATAATTGTATATTATATATTATATATTATATATTACATAATGAGATAATAATAAGTAATTAGAAAATTAGATAATAGACAATTAGGTAAGTAGGGACTTATTAAATAGTTATTTATATATTTATATAATAAAAATAATTAAATAATACGTAAGTGGATAATAGATAATTAGATATTAGATAATTATTATATATCTTATTATATTATTATATAATATATAATTATATAATTATATAATATATATTTATATATTTATAAATTATTTATTAAATATTAAATATTTAAATATTAATGAAATATTACATATCATATGATCTAGATATTATATTATTATATTATTATATATTATATTATATATTACATATGTTACATATTACATAATTTACATAATTACATAATACCTAATTACATATTACATAATTACATAATATACTGTATAATTATATAATTTATATATTGTATACAGTAACATCCCATATTGTATTAAATGCTGTCTCATTAATTATATAATTTATATAATCTAATTTACGTGATTTATATATTTACATAATTTTTTTATATATTTTATATAATAAAGATAAAGGTAGTAGATGAAGATAATACATAGAAGATCTTTGATAAAAAGTAAGAAGTACCATCATCAGTGAATCCAACCCTAGCCAAATTAATGACCACAACAACTGGGTTCTCCATGTTCTCCAAATAAGCCGTGTATGCATTTGTTGAGCATTCATCAAATAAGACACACTCCACATCAATCTCACTATATGAATAAAAACGCAAACCATAAATACATGAAAGGTAAAATAAAAGACAAATTAATGATGCATTATGAATTATGAAGTTAGTATATTACTCCTCATCAACTAAAACCATCCGCAACTTGTGCTTCGTTTCATTATCCTTTTGATACTCTTCAAGAGATCCAATTGATTGGACGAATGCCACCACATCTAAAAGGACACGACACAAATAAGAGAACATGAAGGCGTTGTCATTGAATTGCAAAAATACTAATGAAATACTCATGAAATTAGTTACTGTTCAATAGAAAGATAAGTTTACCAATCAGATACTCCAAATGATTCCTTTCAGTACACTTAACAATCTCTGGAAGTGGAACAAAAGAGTAGGCATCATGCGGAATATTCCCACCTTGCTCCCTCATGTAAGTTTGTTGAGTGAATGTTATCTTCCATTTGTTTTCCGTCGCCCTGTACTGATTCACATTAGGAGACACCTCAAAGTTGGTAAAAAAGTAGGTATTTCCTTCCACTGGAGCATCCTTGTATAGAGGGAGCAAGTTCCTGTTTAAAACACTTGCTTGGATCCTGTTCCCCTGTATATTACATCCAACATAATATTAACAAAGTTAGAACCAAATTGTTCCTAAATGTAAGCTACAGAACCATAGTGAGTTCAATATGATTCAAATCAAGTCAGTTCTTGCTTTCAGAGGTAATATTATTTATAATTTATAAAGTAGAAAGTATAATAACAATAAATCGAAAATAAGCACCTCTTCATCAACTAATATCATAGTTATACAAAACAGCTCATTGGGGGATGATTTTTGATAAACACACCATCTTCTGAATACCCTCACAATGACTCTCCACCTATCAGTACCTTCATGGATATCTTTCAGCAAAGAAACTCTAGACATGATCACTGGTTGATCTAAAATGATAATGAAAGGAGAGAGATGGAAGATTTGAAATGAGAGAACAGATTAGAAACACAGTGATGATCAAAAACTGCGTGAACTCTACCACTTTAAATAGAGATGGACCTTTGTATATCCATTTTAGTAGGAAAAGGTTTCCCTCCAAAACGGATCTATTTAAAGAATTCAAATTTTAAATAATCAAATCAAATATTATGTGTTTCTTGACATAATGAATAAGGTTCAGAGTTAACTTAGCATTCGTATTGAAACTTGGAAAAAGGCAAATGATTGGTCCTCCCCTAATGATTAGCCAGGACTTCTAAATCAGAAATCATGTATCATAAACAAAGAAGCATAAAAGGATAGGACGAAAGAACTAATGAACGTATTGAGTGCAGGGATGAAAGCTTTGCATTGGAATAAGGTTATGAACTCAACAGAACTCTTAACACATATAAACCTGTTTAAACATCACAAGATTGATTTTCACTATTATCGAGAATGCATTGAATGAAATACTGCTCATACAATATTTGTCTTGTTTGTGCATAAAATCTGCAGCCACATGTTATTTGGCTTCTGCAAATAAGCATCCACCTACTCAACCAGTACTTTTAACTGACATCATATTACAGGATAACTTGAATAGCTAGGTTCATGTTTATAGGTGTCTGGCCTCATGTTAATCTTGATTAATGGGCAGAAGATAGATTATGTTGCTTGATTGCAAAAAAGTTATCTCCATAAAAGTGTGTAAAATTTATGATAACTGACATGGAACTGCAATGAATCAGCATCTGTACCTAACCATTTCCTGCATCCTTTTTTTTTTTTTACTATCCATTACTAACCTTGATGCCTGACCTCTTTGATAAACATTAACATGACAATACTACATGATGTTGCATAGCTATAGCAAAATCGTGTCAGCAAATGAAATACATGACGCCAAAATTAGGTTGCAGATGCTAAGATTGGTTCATGCAATGAAAAAAAAAATTCACCAAACGATGAAAAAAATATTGACAACACACCATACCATAGCATAGAAAGTACCTTTGCCTTTCACTATATGCACAGAGATCCAAGATATGAGAGTAAACCAAAGATATATATATTTTTTAATCTATTCATGCATATGCATATTCTACTTAGTGAAAGATACCTCTGTAAACTAGCATCCAAACCTAATAAAAAGTTCATTTTCTGATTATCTGATTAAATTTGATTAATTGATATGTGTAATAACCAGTCAACCATGTAAAGAAACTAACTCTAACTTTTGTTAATGTTATTAATTAGAAATTTGAGTTAGAAATATGTAATTATATTCAAAATTATATACATTATGAGGCGTGGTCATTAATGAACTTGGCACGGTGAGGCAATTCACTATAATTTTATATTTATATTTATATTTATACAATATGAGTATTCTATGGCACAAATTGACACACGGTACTTTCATTATCAATGATGCTGATAATATTACAATTGGCAAGTACCAATTAACAATGCAAGCTTTGCTAATAGAGACAGTGCAAATGAATACTAAAGCCCATCCTTCCAAGCTTTATACATGATCAACACTTCACAGTTATTACACATCTAATGAGTTAGGATACAAACTCCTCCTTCATGTTGACCAACTTTTTCAACACATTGCTCCAAGCAAGACAATTTATATATTAAAGGAAAGGGGAGATTACTTTACCATGTTAGAAGCTATACATAGCTTCATTAACAACAAAGGTATAACCTCGTACACATCCTCAAACACGCATCCCCATAAATCAGGTAACTAGTTACAAAGCAGCTTGTAGTTCGGTAGAAATAGACAAATAGATTAATTAAATGACAGCTTTTACTTGATATGAATAAGAATCTCAGCTATGATACCTTGTAAGTTGGGTTAGAGCAAGCATTGGTTCCCCAAGCAATAACAACAATGATCGAGACGCCTCCAATTGACGCAATCAAAGACCTCTAACCCTGGTGGTGAGCCAGTTTTGTCAAGAGTGATGAAGAGTCTCGAAGGTGGTTTCACGAGACTGATTGGGCCAGCCTCTATGACCATCATATCATAATATGATTCTGGATTACTTAAATTCTAAAGCCCATATTATGTTTCTTGTTTACTAATTTATCTTTCTCACAGTGCTGCCTTCATATCAACCTTCATATGTAAATTCTCATTTTATATATCACTTCTTTAAATACCACAACCTTTTTGAAAAAAAACTGCATATTATATTATTATATTATTATATTATATATTATATAGTATATATTATATTTTATGCATTTTATATAGTATATATAATAATAGGGTATGGTACCAAAAACATACAGTTTAATTTCAAATGTTTTAGAAAATTTCATTTGACAAATACTATATAATAGAGTATCCTTACAAAGTGACACATAGAATAAAAGCATAATTGGCATGTGATTAATCGCTGTGTGTTCAAATTAGGTCATCTCGCATGTGAAAGCATTTCCAACGCACATTTTAAATAACCCATATCAGTTCGATAACACACAAAACAACAATCCCTTACATAATACACTTAAGCAACAGAGTTCTGTGCAAAAGCACAGAAATTCGTTCTACATAACACATACATACTAAAGCTAGATAGACTATCACAGACACAATAAGGGTTACAACATATCTCTTATAACATAAGGCCAACATAACGATTATGTTGTCCGAACATAAGGAAACACAGTGCTAACAGAACTTGACCATTAACTGGGCAACATACGAACTAAAAACCAAGAGCATCAATGACAGCAGCCCTTGCCCACTCAACCTCACTGAACTGAGGGTTAACAAAAACCCTTGTCTCATCATAGTAAGATGCCATAACCATGTGACCATTCCGATCGACGTCCCCTATGGCATACTGAACCACAACAAAAACAGGGCCGATACCGTCATCCACGCTTTCAAACTTAGCAAAGGCTGCCTCCACACAATCCCCATGAAAAAGAAAAATGGTCTACTTCTTTTCCCTGTGAAAGAAATGTTTCGAACTAAGTTCCACAAGAAAGGAAGTGGATGAAAGCATTATCTTTATAAATATTGATGGTTAATATAACAGTAAGTTTGTAAGAACAGATTCATCAACCTCCTGTCCTCTATGACAAACATAAGCTCCTTTGTGTAACACCCTTTCCATGGTTCCATAATCGACTTCCCATAGGACTTCAAAATACCGCATATGTCTACACACATAATGAATATTTGTTTAACTTATTGAAACCATAAGAACCTCTGTCAGGAAAGAAACACTTACCTACTAACTGAGCATTAGGATCGCAGAGCCGAGCAACAGCATTAGCAGACCTCAGTGCAAAAGAACGATCTGGAAAAGGCTCCCATGACTCCCAGATGACAGTCTCCAGGCCAAACACAAGGTGGAAGTGTTCGTGCACTCGTTCACCACCACTGCAGACTGTGAAACCAGTTATCCAATAACACTGACGCTCTCCAAGACACTAAAGCATACTCTCCTAGACCT